ACCTACCATATTTTTTTAAAAAAAGATTTCATTTATTCACCCATGAGAGAGAGAGAGAGAGAGAGAGAGAGAGAGAGAGAGAGAGGCAGAGACACAGGCAGAGGGAGAAGCAGGCTCCATGCAGGGAGCCCAACGCGGGACTTGATCCCGAGACCCCAGGATCACGCCCTCGTCCGAAGGCCAGGCATCAAACCGCGGAGCCACCCAGGGGGCTCCCTGAACCTACTTTGTAATTATGATTTAACTTTGCTTTATGATTGACTAAAGCTGACATTGTGGAAAGGCACAACTCGTGTGTGCGCCTTCACAGTGTGCCCATGACACAACCCCCGGTCAGTTATCAGCCTATGATTCCCTGTTATTTAAGGAATGCTTTACTTGAGCTGGATTTTACGGTGCATCAGATGGGATGCCTGGGTGGCTCAGCGGTTGAACATCCGCCTTCGGCTCAGTGTGTGACCCTGGAGTTCCGGGATCGAGTCCCGCATCGGGTTCCCTGCATGGAGCCTGCTTCTCCCTCTGCCTGCATCTCTGCCTCTCTCTCTCTCTCTCTCTCTCTCTGTGTGTGTGTGTGTATATGTGGGAGATATCCAGAAAAACTGAGTAAAATTCCCCATAATGGCTCAAGCCACCACCTTGAATACCATCTTCAGCTAAAGATCAATGAAAGACGTTGGAATGGGAGTGAGGAGGCCAATTATGGAAGGTTACCAGGAAAATCAAGCAAACAATTGTGTGGTTTGGGGCACCTGGGTGGCTCAGTTGGTTAAACATCTGCCTTTGGCTCAGGTCTGGATCAAGCCCTGCATCAGGGTCCTTGCTCAGTGAGGAGTCTGCTTCTCCCTCTGACCTTACCCCCTCTTGTGTTCTTTCTCTCTCTCAAATTTTATTTATTTAAAATAAAATTAAAAAACAATGATAAGGTTTGTTATGCATATTTAAGTCTATGCCTTCTCCATTGAAAATAGTTTTCTTTTCTTTTTTTCATTGATAAGAGTTTCTTGTGGATATTTCTCCAAAGAAAACACACAAAAGGCCAACAGACACATGACAAAACCTCAACATCATCTGGCATCAGGGAGCTGCAAATCAAACCACAATGAGGTACCACCAGTGAGAATGGCTAAAATTAACAAGTCAGGTAACAACAAATGTTGGAGAGGATGCGGAGCAAGGGGAGCCCTCTTGCACTGTTGGTGGGAATGCAAGCTGGTGCAGCCACTCTGAAAAATAGTGTGAAGATTCCTCAAGAAGTTAAAAACAGAGCCACCCTATGACTCAGCAATTACATTACTAAGTATTCACCCCAAAGATACAAATGTAGTGATTCTAAAGGGGCACCTGCACCCCAATGTTCATAGCAGCAATGTCCACAATAGCCAAACTACGGAAAGAGCCCAGATGTCCATGGACAGGTGAACGGATAACGAAGATGTGGTCTAGGGATACCCGGGTGGCTCAGCTGTTTAGCGCAGTCTTTGGCCCAGGGTGTGATCCTGGAGTCCCAGGATCAAGTGCCGCATCGGGCTCCCGCTTCTCCCTCTGCCTGTGTCTCTGCCTCTCTCTGTGTCTCTCATGGATGAATAAATAAAATCTTAAAAAAAAAAGAAGATGTGGTCTCTATATACAATGGAATATTACTCAGCCATCAGAAAGGATGAAATCTTACCATTTACATCGATGTGGATGGAACTGGAGGGTGTTATGTTGAGCAAAATAAGTCAATCAGATAAAGGCAGTTATCACACGGTTTCACTCATATGTAAAATGTAAGAAACAGCACAGAAGATTATAGGAGAAGGGAGGGAAAATGGAATGGGAAGAAATCAGAGAGGGAGACAAACCATGAGAGACTCATGGGAAGCAAACTGAGGGTTGCTGGAGGGGAGGTGTTTGGGGGGATGGGGTAACAGGGTCCCGGGCATTAAGGAGAGCACGTGATGGGATGAGCACTGGGTGTGACATGCAACTAATGAATTACTGAACACTACATCTGAAACCAATGATGTACTACATGTTGGCTAATTGAATGTAAATTTTTAAAAAGAATTTCTTGTGATTTATAGTCATCTCTCTGTTTCTGCGTTAAAGAGGGAGATGTACTTACAATAAATGAACTTTTCCTAAGAATAGCTTTCCCACTGAAGGTTCTGGAAACCTTGCCTCCAAATTCCTTAGAGATTTATGCATTCCTAACCTCCTGCCAACTTGGAAGTATATAATGGGTCACTCCTCAAGGCCCCAGTATATAAGAATGAAAAAGCTGGTGTCCATGCACCAAGGGGATCAAGTTTTCTAGAACAGTTGCTTCTAACCTGAGGACTTCAAGAAATTCATGAGCCCATGAACCCACTGAAAGTGTTTGAAGGCATCTTGTTCTGTTTCCATGTTTAAACAGCAGGTCAATAGCTTTTCTCAAATTTTCATGCACTTTTATGGCCTTTGGTCTAGGGGCTGAAATACAAACACCACACATATGCACGTAACTACCAAAAATACCATTAAAACTAGTCAGAACTTACCTACCAGCTAGGCCTGGTGATCTCAGAGTAATTTGTCTTCAAGTAGAGGTCGACTGGCAAAATTTCAGATGTTAGTGGCCCCATGGGATAGCCCATCACAGGAGTCCGCATTATCCAGAACATAGATCTTAATCAAAGACAGATCTTTTCATAATATTTTAACAATAAAAATCATACTAATTCTATCAATATTCTTACACATAGTTGCAAACCACTGCCACACTCTAGTTCATATCCATACTCCTGATGGCGAGTGGGTGTGAGGGGCCTGAGGAGGGAGAGCTGGCTCCACTATCTACGCTCTTGGTTCTGGGCTGAGACATTTCCTATCTCATGTGCTATTGTGAACTTGCTGCATTTTAAAATCCTGAGAAGGTTTTTTTTTTTTTTAAAGATTTATTTATTTACTTATGATAGACACAGAGAGAGAGGCAGAGACACAGGCAGAGGGAGAAGCAGGCTCCATGCAGGGAGCCCGATGTGGGACCTGATCCCGGGTCTTGAGGATCACGCCCTGGGCTGAAGGCGGTGCTAAACCTCTGGGCCACCTGGGCTGCTCAAGGAGACACTGGTTTTTAATCAAAGAGAGCGTTTTTATCCGACAGGCGGCCCAACAGGCAGGCAGGGCATCATTCCCAAAGTGGCTTTGCCCTGTTGAGACTGGGAGCAGCTTCGGTATGTTTGGGGAAGGAGGTGAACACAAGAGAGGAGGCTGAGGGCTTCCTTGAACCATGATGGGGGGTGTGGGTGCCTCGAGACAATTGGGGGGTGTGCAGTCCACCGGCGTGAGGTGGCCGTGGGGACTTGATGCATCGGGGAGGCTTTTTTTAAGAAAATACAGAAGAATAGTCATTAAAGCACGGTTCATAACCGCTACAGTTGGGAAAATGTAACCCTCTCAGGGCCTGGCTAAGTAAAGTGGGGACGACCATTCGTGACGTCACCAGGCTCCCCTGTATGATGCGCTCAAAGATTTCTATGGTTTGAGAAATCCTTAGAGGATATTAGTAAATGAAAATCTAGATTATAAAACACTATACGTGGATTTTAAATGGCTTCCACATCTGAGTGAAACCATATGAAAATAGTCTTCCTCCCGCTGACTTATGTTCCCTTCACACGATCCCCTCCGGTTCCACCCGAGCCTTTGCAGGTGGTGCTGGCGTGAGGCTGCGGCCTAGTCCCCGGAATCTGGAGATGGCACCTTCTCTCTCTGTGCCCAGGTCCACAGGCATCGGCGCTCCCTGCTCGGCTGTCCCAGCGCTGTTGCCACGAAGTTGGAGAGCAGTGTCCTGTCACAGCTCTGTGTCATGTCCTTGCAGGGACACCCGGGAGTGCGATCACCCGGCCAGGGAGCTTGGCCCTGTGCCCAGCGCTCCTCCCTGCGGCCCAGCTCAGCCCTGACCCTGTGATGTGCCTGTTTGTGTGACGGTCCCTGTCGCTCGGTCATGAGCTCCTGATGCTGGGCAGCCCGGGCCGTGGCCCAGGACCCTGAGCAGGGGGGTAACCCGTGCCGGGGGCCCCCACCGCACCCCAGTTCCAGGGCCGTGGCCACCGTGGCATCAAGGTCCCGCGGCGGGTCTGGTGCTGGAGCCTGAGGTCAAGGCCACGGCCCTGCGGCGGCAGCGAAGGGGAAGGAAGGCCCGGCCGGCCCGCCCAGGAAGTGCGCGGGTCCCCAGTGGTACTTAGGCCGCCCCAGGGTGGGGAGCAGGCTCGACCTCAGAGTCTGGGGCTGCGCGCACGGCCTGGGCGACAGCCAGAGCCTCGCAGGACACCTGGTAGGAGGGTGGCTGCTGCCCGGGCGGGAGGGGTCCCGGGGCGGCCGGCAGGAGGACAGGGCCTCGGGAGGAGGCGGGCCCAGGGTCAGTCCCTTGGGGGACAGGACGGGGAGGGGACCGGGGTCTGCGGGGGGGGCGCAGTACTCCTACCTCCTGTTCCTCCTCGCGCGGGGCTCAGGCACTCCGGGACCCGGACACTCAAGGCAGCGGTCAGGTGAGGTGACGACCGCCAGCCGGTGACCCCTGTGGCCCCGGAAGCCCTGGGAGAGCGCCTGCCTCTGTGGGGGCCTGAGCCCAAGCCTGTCAGAGCTCCGCGGTGGGGTCCCGCTCGGAGGCGAGTGCGCCTCTCAGCCCCCCTCGGTCCCCACCCCCTCGGGTGCTCTCTGACCTGCTGTCTCGCTCGCTCTGAAACCAAGAATAAAAGCATAAAAAAGAATGAAATAAAATAAAGATCAAGAAAGGAGCAAGGAAACCTTTTTTTTTTAAATTTTTGTATTTATTTATGATAGTCACACAGAGAGAGAGAGAGAGAGAGAGGCAGAGACATAGGCAGAGGGAGAAGCAGGCTCCATGCACCGGGAGCCCGATATGGGATTCGATTCCGGGTCTCCAGGATCGCGCCCTGGGCCAAAGGCAGGCGCTAAACCGCTGTGCCACCCAGGGTGGAGCAAGGAAACCTTAAAGGCACAATAAGCACCTAATGGCTGGGAAGGATCATTTTGTTCCTATCGCTCTGACCACTGTGATTCCCTCATTTTCCTCCCTCCTCCTGCCCAGAGGGATGATTCTGTGTCTCCCGGGGCCTTGGCCCCTGCTCCTGCTGCTGCTGCTGGGATCATGGGGGCCGGTGCCTCCTGCTGCTGCTCGGCCTCCAGGCTTCACCGCCGTTCAGTGGTTTAACACCCAGCACCTAAGAGCGAATCAGGTGCAATGCAGAACTGAAATGCCTCGGATCAATAATCTGCTTCCCAGATGTAAGGGGCAAAACACCTTTCTGGTTGAGTCCTTCCAAAATGTGGTTGCTACCTGTCAACAGCCCAACATGAACTGTACCACCAGTGGGCAAAACTGCCACCAGAGCGCAGGGCGGGTGAACATGACCTACTGCCTTCTCATTGGGCGCCGGCCCCCGTGCACCTACAGTACTACGTACCAGAACCGGTTCTACATTGTTGCCTGTAACGACTCGCAGCCAGGCTACCCTCCCAATCTTCTGCTTCCCGTCCACTTAGACGACACCGTCCCGCTGGGTCCTACACACTTCGGTTAAGACCAAGGTGGCCATCGCAGTCGCTCCCCCTGGGCCAGGCTCTCTCATGATGTCTCTGCTTTCTCTTTCCTTTGTTGATTCCCATGGTTCCCATAGAAGAAATAAGTAAAGGGCCAAGATGTGAGACGAGAGTAAGGGACAGCAGACATTGGAAGCTTTTCAGATTGGGAGCTCTGTGTGATTGAAAGGAAGGCAATAGGGCAGAGGGCCAAGAACGGCCCAGGCCCCATGGTTTTCCTCTTGCACCTTCGGCCAAGCTTCCTTGCACCTGTTCTCAGCAATAAAATCACTTTCTCCTGCATTCTAAGGACTGTGAGTATGTGTGTTCGGGGTCCCTTTCCCGTGATTGCCAGCTTGGAGCCACCTAGGTTGCCTTTGCCAACATCCTCAGGAGAACTATTTGGGCCTCAGTTCACCTTCGTTACTCAGGGTCCTAGGGCCTCTGTCACTTGTCTCAGCCTGTGTCCCTGGGACTTTGGAGAAGACAGTTCTCCATCCCTCCCACTCTGCCCAGGGCTTTGACATATCTCCCTTGAACCCATGGCCTATGTTTACGGGAAGGTACCACAGGCACCTCTGTGGTACTTTCACACACAGGCTCTAACGCTGACAATGACACATCTTACATCCTTAGTATTGGCTTCCATATGTGATCAACTAATGTTTTAAATATAAATAAATAGGGGATCCCTGGGGGGTCAGCGGTGTAGCGCCTGCCTTTGGCCCAGGATGCCAGGAAACAGAGTAGGTGGGGAGCGGGCTGGGGCCTGCCCGGGTGTGCTCAGCTCCACGGGGGGCTGATCCCCATTCCCAGTGAAGAGCCCCCGTCCCCACCCTGGGTGTCCCCCAGCGCCCACGTCCTCAGGGCTGGGGTTTAGCCACTTGGCACTTTGTGCTCCTTCAGGTGGTGAATTCCGGTCTTGCTGCCCCAGGACAGCTCGGGACAGGGAGCGCAAGACCCCAAGGGAGCAGTCCCCTCCAGTCCAGGTCTCTTCCATGGTCTCAGGTCTCACAAGCGCAGGGGAGGGAAGGCCTCTCCTCCTCCCTCTGGCCCGTCCCTGCGCCTCCATAGAGAAGCAAAGCCCAGACCAAGGAGACGAAAGCGGGCACATTCCCTTCTGGTCAGTGTGAGGGGACGCGGGAGCCTCCTGGGGACAAGGACTCAGGAGGAGGTTAGGGCTGAGTGTCCTCTGCTGGGCTGGGGAAGCGGGGGTGGGGTGGGGGGCCGAGGAACCCTGGGCCGCATCCAGGGGGGGAGCTCAGTGTGCTCGATGGGGGGACAACACAGGAAGACGTGTGCTCAGAGGTGTCCCCGGCTTTGCAGAGAGGGAGGCTGCTCTCCTCTGGGTTGAGACACCCTGGCTGGGGACGGGTTAGGACCTGCCCCCGGGGAGGTGAGCAAGCCCTCCCTGCAGCCGGCACTTCTCCGCGTTCTTCAGCCGCAGAGGTTCAGCACGCCAAGCTGCCGGATCCCCTCCACGTCGCTGGGCCTGCTGCCTGCAACAGCAACTGGGCCCAGGGCTGGTCCCCAAGATCCCACAGGGTCAGTGTCTCTAAGCAGGCCACAGTCCCTAGGTCCCTTCTCGGCTCATTCAGGCCTCCGGGACGCTGCGTCCTCGGGTGGCTGTGCCCTCTGTGTGTCCCGCATCTGACACGAGAGTGACCTGAGCAGTGAGTCAGGGCCTGAGGCTCGGGGCACCCCCGCGTCCCGGGGTGCCGGTCACTTGGATGGCGTGTGAGGAGCTGCAGCCCGGCTCTTGGGGCCATGGAGGCCGGTGCCCGGGTTGTCCCGCGGGGGCTCGTGCTGGGTCCCATGGCCTCCTTCTTTCCCCACAGGCGGAAGGCACCCTCCCCTGTTATCAGGCCTGAATCCACCGCTTTGCACACCTGCTGAGGGGAAAAGTGTGCAAGACCCGCAATGCATGAGAGCGACCACACGTGGTCCCCCATGGAGTGCCCGGACCTCCTGCCAGACGCGCCGGGGGGAGCAGACGGGACAGAGGGGACCCCTCGGCGGGCCCGGCATGTTCCAGACGCCACGGTCCACAGCGGGCAATGCTTCAGAGGTTTCCTGGTCACCGCCAGGCACGTGACCTTGGTCCACAGAGAGCACACGTGGGCATAAACCAAGATCACGTTGGAACTGCTTGTGACATTTACTGATGTAATCATTATTAATTTATGAGCCACCCAGGGGAAAACCAGAGGGAAGAGGAGGGGGGGGGCGGGGCGCCGTATGGAGCCTAGAAGGTGAGACCCTGGCTGGCCCTTTATGGACATTCTGACCGTCTGGTCACCTGAGCTCTTCAGGGCCCTGTCCTGCGGCCAGGCCGGAGTTCGGGAGCGGAGTGGCGGCTTGGGCCGGGATTCAGGCTGCCCACACTGGGCTGCGTAGCACGTGGCCACCCGGGGCTCTTCCTCCCTGGTAACCGGGGTCCTGGCGACGAGGTCGACTTGCTGCCCCTCGACGGCTCAGCGGGTCCCCGGGTCCCCGATGATGCTGAGCTGCCCACGGGCCTCCACGTGAGCCACACAGGGGGCTCGGGGACCTGCCTCCTGGTACTCCGCTCGGCCGGGCCGCGGCTCAAGGCCCCTGCACCTGGGCAACACTCCTGAAGCTCTCACCTCTCAGCCTTATTTGACTTTCTTCTTTCTCGAGGACACTGCATGAACATGGGGCTCGACTTCCTGACCTTGTGATGAGAGGTCGCAGGCCGGACCGCCAGCCACCCAGCCTCCCCCTTCTGGGGGCTCTCAGAAGTCTGCTGGGGTGGCTGCACCTGGCGGGTGCCCGCAGAGCCTGGCCGAGGCCCCGACGCCCCCTGCCCCCACGCTGCCCCCTCCAGGCTCCCCAGCCCCACCTCTCCTCTCCGCCAGGGAGCTCTGGGCAGCTTGCGGACCCGGACCCCAGGGGCGTCCCAAGGCCAGGCCCGCACCAGGAGGGTCAGCCCTGGGTGGGATGTCACAGCTCCCGGAGGACACAGCTCCCGCATGAGTCACAGTGTGTCACCCCTCTGCGTGCGGCGGCAACAGAATTTGAGTGTTGGGTCAGATGACGTTGAACCTTTAAGGACCGAAGGACAATGTGCGCAGACAGCAAGATGCGGGGGAGGAAGGACCCTTGGGCCTTGGGCGGCCTTCCCTGCTGTCCTAGGTGGGCGGGAAGGGGGCGCAGGAGGCCATCCAGGCCTGACTCAATCAGCTGATTTGAGACAAAGAGTAGTTTTTCTTTCAAGGCGTCTTTTCCATTTGTAAATTCATTTTTCAAAATGCCACTGACAGTGCCAGGAGTAGCAGGGAACGTGATGTTGCCCACATGGAGGCCTACAGGGGACGGCCCAGTGGGAAGGGACGGAGGAGGCCATGGGCCTCCCGGGAGAGGGGAAGCTAAGTTCACCAGGATAGGGAGAATTCTGGAATTCTTTGTCCCTCTTGGCAGGTCCTAGGAAGTCCTTCCCTTGTGCTCTCACGGGCTCATTTCATTTCCTAAGGTGAGGAATTACCTTTTAAAAAGTCAACAATGTAGATAAATACAAACCAATATAGAGTACTCAAAACAAATCATATCGTTTTTCATCTGCCTGGCGTTTTTCAATAAATAAAATATAAAACCATCGGTGTTCCTTCCATTCTCCTTGCCATTCTCACTCCTCTTAGCTCTTCTCAGATAGAATCATAACCACGGTGTGCATCCCCGTTTTTAATTTTGTATTTCATCCATAACATATTCCTAAATGGCATCAACCTCTTAACTGTGCTTCTCTTCAATTTGTTTCGGCTGTTCTACCGGCTTTTGGCTCTTGCCCCTCGGGATGAGGATTCTACGTTTCATAACTCAAGAGGTTTTATTTTTTTCTAGCTTCCCCGAAGTTCCCGTAGAATATAGCCTAGTCATGCAAGGAATTTTCTCCACAAGTTTCTAAGGAAGCCAGTCTAGGAGATCGATCTGGGCTTGTCTCCTGGGAACTCCAGATTACCCTCCTCCAGGGTCACCACTGCCCAGGGCCTTATCACTCTTTTGTGCCCAGAAGTGAGTCTTTGATATTGGACACCTGTGCTCCAGGCTATGCTCAGAGTGAACCCAAGCGCCCTGGATGAGAAGACACGGGAGCAGGCTCACAGGGAAGGCTGGCCCCCGCCCCCGCCACACTCATCAGTCCCAGTGCCCCACCTCTCACGACTGCCCCTTTCTTCACTGCTGCACACTTCCTGGCTCTCTACTCTTCAGATCCACGTAGCGATTTCCTCGAGCAGTGACACGTAAGTGCTGGATCTGAACAGGGGGAGTCAGAGTTGGGGTTGGTGTCGAGGAGGCTTGAGAGGAAAGGGCCGGGGACACTGGACGGGGCCTCACTGAACCTGCAGGCGGTAGAGTTCAGATTGGAAAGTGACCCAATTTCTAAGAAGCAAAGACCTGAAGTCAACTCAGGATTAATCCCACCGGTGGGATCTGTCCCCTCACCCCCTTCGCCCCTACGCCCGCTGCCTCCCCAGTCTTCCCAAGGATGATACATTGAGGCAGCTTGAATCCTGGTCTTCTATCCTGCTGAGGTCCTGTAGACAAGGTGGAGCGAGCCACCCATGTGAATGTTCCGACTTGACGTCTATGCCTCATATAGCCCTTGATACACTGGAGGAGGACAAAAATTTCCTTCTCTCTTTCAAGGTTCTTCCAGCCAGTTTCAGAATTGCGTTGACAGGGACGTCTGGATGGCTCAGGTGGCTCAGCACCTGCTTTAAGCTCAGGTCGTGATCCAGGGTCCTGGTTGGAAGCATGCATGGGGCTCTTTCCTCAGTGAGGACTCTGCTTCTCCCTCGCCCTCTGCCCCTCCCCCGACACACGGTCTCTCTCTCTCTCTCTCTCTCTCTCTCTCTCTCTCAAATAAAGAAATGAAATATTTTTAAAAAATTAAATTAAACAAAGATTAAGTTGACGTAAGACAGATTTAACGGGAGAAAAAAACCCCGAATTTTTATTATATGGACATAAAGCCCCAATAGTGGCAGTGTGATCCCAAAGAGATGACAGAGGCAGACAGTTTTTAGACATTTTCAACAATGAGAAGTTACATTTGTTAGGAATTGACAGGACAGTGAAAACAAATGTCTGAGAGTTTTAATCAGTAAGGAATCCAAAGCAGAATCTGACCTGACCTAGTAGGTTAGTAAAAAGGAAGAAAGTTTGTTTACAGAGCCTTCCTGGCTTTAGAATCCCTGTGGCTGGTGGGTGCCTGGCTGGCTCAGTTAGTGCAGCATGCCCCTCTTGATCTCAGGGTTGTGAGTTCAAGCCCCACTTTGGGCAAAAAGCTTACTTAAAAATTAATGTAAGAAAATTAGTAGTATTCCTCTCTCTGGTGATAAGAACGTCTTTTTATTTCTTAGGACGGGAAGGGTCCCTTTCATATGAGAGGTCATTTTCTACTTTTACGGGGACAGAAGAGGGTCTGAGGGTCCTTGCACTGGCTGTTTTCCAAGTAGCTTCAGGTCCAATAATCAAATGCACTGTGACACCTTGTGGGGGAGCCGGCCCTGGGTCCCTGCAGCAGTCTCAGAAGTGCTCTCACGTACTCGTCTCGTTAGACTCTCACAGGTCTGCGAGGCAGCTATTACGAGGCCCATCGGAGGACCCGGCGCTCAGAGAGCTGAGATCCCGATTAGAGATGCCCTAGGACCCGCTGTACTCCTCATGGTCAATGAGGACAGAGAGCAGGCTCATAGGGGAGACCTTCCCACACAAGCCTATGCCCTGATTGTGACCAGGGGAGTTCCTGTGAGGGCAATTTCAGGCTTGGCATTTAATTGATTAGAACAAGATTTCAAATTTCCTATACGATCCCATTCTTAACGACCAATCCAGATGATTTACAATCATGACCCTGAGGGAAATGGCCTCTGAGAAGGATGTGCACAGTCAGAAGTGACAGCGGGCTTCACACAAGCTTTGGGGAAGTTGATAAGGAGTCAGAATTCGATAAGCACCGTCTTGCAAAGTCAGTGTAACTGTAGCCTGGGATTTCAGTGACCCGAAGCCTTCTTGCTCGGGAAATATCACCCAAGTGTTCACCCGTCTTCCGCATTCCCTTAAGCGGTGACAACGCTTTCCCCTTCACAGCTCTGAAGCTTGAAAATACCAATTTCCCTTAGAGCCATGCTCCTAGAAGGTTGATCTGGACTATGGAGCAGAGTTCACGAGAGGGTGACTGGCTCCTCGGTTTGGGGGGAAGAGCAGGCCGACGGGAGACGTGTGAACTTCTCGCGATAACCTCCACCAAGTGTTGACCGTCTTGTGTTTGTCTCACTCAGGCTCTAGCGTATTTTCAGCTTTTGTACAGTTTCTCACGCAATGAGATTTATGGTCTCAAGCCTGGGAAGAAAACGGTGACACTGGGCCCCACGTTGGCAGGCAAAGCGATTCTCAGGTGCAAGCCAGCTCTCAGGGCAGGGTGGAGATCATGCTCTCTTGTCTCCTCCCCGTGAGCGTGCAGGTGGCTCTGGCGGCGGAGATGGCGTCCTGTCTACCGATGCTCGGCCCTCTCTTGGCCCTGCTGTTTGTGCTCTGCGGGCTGCTGGTCCACGGCCAGAACCTGTCCTGGAGGGCGTTCATGGAGCAGCACTACCTGAGCACAAGCTGGAAGTTCAGCGACTACAAATGCAACGATCTCATGAGGGAAAGAGAAGCTCCAGAGGACAGGAACGGTCACATCTTCATCTATACCTTGTGGCACAAAATCGAGCATATTTGCCTCAGGAAGTGGAGAGATCCTTACAGAAACGTATATATATGGGCCCAGCATCCCTTCCTAATACTCCGGTGCTACCGGGAGAAGAACAGAAAGGGCTACAGAGAGCACAGCAGCTACAGCTACCTGGAATTCCACTGTGGCGGGAACGGGTATGTTGATGGCATAGAGGACATCCGGGTGGTACACATCAAAAAATAGGAAAAGAGCGAGTCCTCCCACACCCCCAGGGTGGAGGAGCATGACCAGTGCTTCCCAAGTGGTGGCCCCTGCCTGCCTATGTCAACAGCCCTCGCGCCCCGTTCCCTTACGTTGATGTGCCAATGTCTTCCAACTACTGAGTTGCACACCACGTGGCGTCTTCCGGTCGGAACTGCCTGCATGGTTTCTCTGCCTCCAATACCCTCTGCCCTCCTTTACCTGGTCTGCTCTTAACTTTTGTTAAGATTAAGCTCACCTGGCTTCTCTCTTTACTGAACCGAGGAGTTTCCTGAGAGTGACTCTCCTCACTCCACCCAAACGGAAAGGTCTTCCCTTCCCTCCATGAATTCGATCATCCCAAGGTGTAGGACATTTATCTACGTTAGGTGTGTGTGATTAGTGTCGGTGTTACAGGCTGCGTGATATCGATTATACTTGCATATGATTTGTGCAGAATGTAGGCTTAAGGTCCGTGTTATGGACACATTTGTGAAATGTGTTTCTAAGAAAATGCAGGGATTTTAGGCAGGTTAAGGCGTTATGTTTCCTGGGAATAATAAATTACGTGGGTGATCATAGCAGGAATGAGCTTATCTGATAATAATCATTTTCACTAGGCAGAGACGTAGACTGGGATAAAGGACTTTAGAACGTAACCTTCCTGTGGGTCGCCGGCAGGCAGGTGCAGGGCAGGATGGGGTAACTGGGTGATGGACATTAAGGAGGCCCCACGATGCAATGAGCACAGGCTCTTATGGGAGACTGATGATTCACCGACCTCTACATCTGAAACTAGTAACACTTTATACATTGTTTAATTGCATTTAAATTAAGAAAATAAAAACTGTAAGCTTCTTCAAGAACGGATCTTATAATTTACATTTTGTGGGTAAAAAACAGGAAGTAAATCGCAGAAGGAAATGTTGAGGACACAAGTAAGTAACTGCTGAGAATTCTGTTTGCTAAATGGGCAAGAGAGATGCAGAGAAAGATAAATCTTCACTTCAGATAATTAGGCCTCAAGCAGGTACGGGGAGGAGAAATACTGAACATTAGAGTCCCTTGTATCTTCAGCCTCCTGCATGATTGAATGACTCCCGTGTTGAAACAGGTAGAGAAAAGACCCAGGTAACAGCATTTCCAGCGAGGTGGCCGTGTTCCTCGTCCTGAATGTCTGGCCTCAATGAGTAGCCAAGGAATCCAGGTTGGCCATCACGTTCCAAGAGCAGCTCTTCAGCTTTGCGATTTTGAATTGCACCTGGGCTTGAGCAGAGACCGGGAGGTGACAACTTATACTAGCCAGACTCACAAGAGATCAGTGTCAATCCAGTTGTTCCCTATCGATGCTCAGTTTATGGATGAGGAATACTGACTGTTTATCTCAGCTGAGAAAAGCTGCTTCCAAATGCAGTGGCATGGGGCACTTGGGTGGCTCAGTCGGTGACGTGCCTGACTCTAAATTTCAGCTCACGTCATAATGTCACGGTCATGAGATCCAGCCCCACAGCCAACTCTGTGCCGAGCCTGGAACCTGTTTGGGATTCTTTCTTTCCCTCTCCCTCTTCCCACTACCCCTCCCCTTGCTCACACAGGCCCTTGCTCTCTCTCTCTCTCTCTCTCTCTCTCTCTCCCAACATGAAAAGAAAAACAGACAAACCAGGTGAAAACCAAATATAATGGCCTATTTTGTGGTAGCATATTCTGGTTTCCTGGAGTTATATTTCACAGTGGTCTATTCCGGCCTCTCACAAGTTTTCACAAATATCTCATTTAAAAACTCTAAAAATTCCTTTTAAATAAAATAAAATAAATAAAAAGTAAAATAACCAGCATGCTAGACTACAACAATGAAGGGAGAAAAACTCCACAGTCCCTACTAACCTTGTGGTCTACCTGGGGGGTCTATTAATCCAGAAATCATATAAAGAAATGCATAGTTATAAAGTAACTTTTGAAAATTCAAATTAATATTTTAAAAAGGTACACATAAAAAAAGAAATAGGTACACGTTTGTACAAAAGCATTTAATTACTGGGGCAGAGAAAGGGGCGCCAGCCTCACTGGGGCGAATGGAGGTAAGATAGGTGACACTGTACCTGACAGCTGCAGAGTAAAGAGGAGGTAAATTTTATGGCTCTTCCCATCAAACTACTTAAATCAAAAGGGACAAGGGAAGAAGGGGGATAATGAGAGGAAGAGGAAAGGGGACATCACCCAAGGATGCCTGAAATAAGTCAGCATTTCCACTCCTATGAAACAAGATGCCTTAACAACAAATATATAGGTGATGACAACAATGAATAGCAGTCATGGGAAAGTAACACCAGGATATTCTAAAAGTATTGAATACTAACAATTTAACTTACAAACCACAAAATTTACATGAGATCTCTGTATATTCTCTCCAAACGATGTGTTCTGGCAGCCTGGGTGGCTCAGCTGTTTCGCATCTGCCTTCAGCCCAGGGCATGATCCTGGGGACCCGGGGTCGAGTCCCGCATTGGGCTCCGTGCATGGAGACTGCTTCTCCCTCTGCCTGTGTCTCTCTACCTGTCTCTGTGTGTCTCTCATGAAAAAATAAACAAAACCTTTAAAATAATAAAAGAGAAGTCATTTTGGCAATTCTGGGGGCCCTTGGTTGCCTCAGGGGGTGGAGCATGTGACTCCTAACCCTGGGGTTGTGATTTCGAGCCCTGCCTTGGATATAGAGACTACATGAAAATAAAATCTTAAAAAAATAGTTCTTTTGGCATTCCGTATGAATTTTAGAATCAGCTCAACCCCCAGGGGTTTTGATTAGGATTGAGGTGACTGTATAGATCAATTTGGGGAGCATTGATAGCTCAATAATCCTGAGTCTTCAGACCCATGGACATAGGATGGCTCTGTTCCTTACATCCTCTTGGCCAAGCTTTTGGTTTTTAGTATTGAGGGGGTGAGGATGTCCCAAACTCTGAAACCTTGGCATAAGAAAAGAGTCTCATCCACCTGTTCCCATTCCTGGGATGAGCAAGGAGAGCGTGGAGCCTTCCCCTGTACCCTCGCTAACAGCGAGCTCCACCGCTCCAGTCCCGACCTGTGATGGGAGGAGTCGTGTTGGGGGTGGGGGGTGGGGGCAGAAAAAGGTGGCCCACCGAGCACTGATTCAAGAAATAAAAGACTTAATTCAAGAGGACTGGAAGAACTGGGGACAGGGTCCATCCGTTGGCTAAGATTGCGACAACAAGATACCACAGACTGAGTGGCTCACACCACAGAAGTTTATTTTCTTACCGTTCTGGAGGCCACAAGTGCAACATCAAAGCTCTGGAGGTTCGGGTTCTGCTGTGGCCTCCTTCCACAGTTGAAGAAGGCTGCCCTGCTGCTGTACCCCTGCGGGTCTTCTCTGCCCCTGTGCACCCCAATACTTCTCTGTGGTTCACCTTTCCTCCTCTTACACGCTCAGCAGTCACCTGGCATTGGGGTCCATACTGAGGGCCTCATTTCAACTCAGTCACTCCTTCAGAAGTCCTAACTCAAGTACAGTCACATTTGAGATCTGATCACACTTCTGAGAACGTGGGGTCTATGCCTGAGCTGTGGGGGCAGACAATTCAGCACGTACCGGAGGACATGAAGCCGTGGTTTCCCTGAGCCACAGGAGGGCTGCTCGGGTGGCTCCATGGCTTAAGCATCTGCCTTCAGCACGAGTCCTGATCTCAGGGTCTTGGGGTGAAGCCCCGAGTAGGGCTCCCTGCTCAGCAAGGAGTCTGCTTCTCCCTCTCCCTCTGCCCCCCACACCCCCCCCCGCCCCCGCCACCACCTGGCCCTGGCTCTGTCTTTCTCTCAAAAAATGTGCCCGCTTTCCTCTCCTTGGTCTGGGCTTTGCTTCTCTATGGAGGCACAGGGATGGCCCAGAGGGAGGAGGCAGAGGTCTTCCCTCCCCTGCACTTGTGAGACCTGAGATCATGGAAGAGACCTGGAAGGGAGGGGGCCGCTCCCTTGGGGTCTTGCGCTCTCTGTCCCACGCTGTCCTGGGGCAGCCAGACAGGAATTCACCACCTGAAGGAGTACAAAGTGCCAAGTGGCTAAACCCCAGTCCTGAGGATGTGGGCGCTGGGGGGAACCCGGGGTGGGGACGCGGGCTCTTCACTGGGAATGGGGATCAGCCCCCCACGGAGCTGAGCACACCCGGGCAGGCCCCAGCCCGCTCCCCACAGACTCTGTTTCCTGGCATCCTTGACAGATTCCCAGGCAATTCTGATGGGAGGCCCGGGCTGGGGGTCCCGCCGGGCCCGGAGGGGTCTGATGGGGTGCTCCTCTGCAGGGGGCTTGGGGTCCTGGCGACTGTGGACGTGCGGAGAGGTGCACCTGCCCTAACACATGTGGCTGTAGAGGAGGAGACGTGAGAGCTGGGTGAGCACACACTCAGTTTTTGTCCTCTGTCCCTGTGCCCAGCGCTCTTCTCTGCGGCCCAGCTCAGCCCTGACCCTGCGATGTGCCTGTTTGTGTGACGGTCCCTGGCGCTTAGTCATGAGCTCCTGAGGCTGGGCAGCCGGGGCCGGGGCCCAGGATCCCTAGAAGGGGGGTAACCCGTTCCGGGGGCCCCCACTGCACCCCAGAACCAAGGCCGTGGCCACCGTGGCATCAAGGTCCCGCGGCGAGTCTGGTGCTGGAACCTGAGGTCAAGGCCGCGGCCCTGCAGCTGCAGAAGGGGAAGGAAGGCCCGGCCCGCCCAGGAAGTGCACGGGTCCCCAGGGTACTTAGGCCGCCCGGGAGTGGGGAGCAGCCTCAACCTCGGAGTCTGGGGCTGCGCGCACGGCCTGGGTGACAGCCAGAGCCTTGCAGGACACCTGGTAGGAGGGCGGCCGCGGCCCGGGCGGGAGGGGTCCTGGGGTCCAGGGCGGCCGCCGGAAGGCCGGGCCCAGGGTCAGTCCCTCGGGGGGACAGGACGGGGAGGGGACCGGGGTCTGCGGGGGGGGGTGCAGTACTCCTACCTCCTGTTTCTCCTCGCGCGGGGCTCAGGCGCTCCGGGACCCGGACACTCAAGGCAGCGGTCAGGTGAGGTGACTACTGCCAGCCGGTGACCCCTGGGGAGCCGCGGGAGAGCGCCTGTCTCTGCGGGGGGCCTGAGCCCAAGCCCATCAGAGCTCCACGGTGGGGTCCCACTCGGAGGCAAGTGTGGCTCTCAGCCCCCCTCGGTC